TTTAGTAGAGGATGGGGTTTCCACCATGTTGGCCAGGCCTGGTCTCAAACTCCTGACCATCAGGTGATCCGTTAATCTTAACCTCCCAAAAGTGCTGGGAATAAAGTATGAGCATCCTACCTGGCCTATTGAAGTCTAGTAGCCTTCCCCACTGCCCCCATAAGGAAAAATGACAAACTCCCTAAGAATACCCAGCAGGCTTTCTGGCTACCTTGCAAGTCCTCACCCCCTGGGGGAATGGCCAAGTTCAGCAGCTGGCCTTCTTTTCTTTTCTCCCAACAGCACCACAAGCTCAGGCGTACTCGTAGGGGGCCACCACGTAATAATGTTTCCCCTCCTGCCTGGAATGCTTGTCATCCTCCTTGCCTGCCTAACTCCTTTCCTTCCCTTACCTTTCCGTCAATTAAAGTCACTTTCCCCTCGGCTGGGCCACAGTGACTCAATGCCTGTAATCCCAAAGCTTTGGGGGGCCGAGGCAGGTGGACGCGGATACCTGAGGGCTTTGGGAGATTTGAGACCGCCAGAGCCAACAATGGAGAACAATCCTGTTTCTAACTAAAAATACAAAATTAGCCGGTGATGGTGGCACATGCCTTGTCATCCCAGCCTACTCTGGGAGTCTGAGGCAGGAGAATCCCTTGAACCCGGGAAGGGCGGGAGGTGCAGTGAGCCTAGATCCGTGCCTTGCCACTCCAGCTGGGCAACGAAGAGGCGAACCTCCTATCTCAAAAAAAAAAAAAAAGTAACTTCCTCCAGAGGCCCACCCTGACTGCCCAGTCTCAGTCTAAGGTAGTTGCCCTGCCACCACCTCATTACTTTCTTACAGGATCCTGTGATTTCCCATCAGAACACACATAATGATTAATAATTAAGCATTTATTCAGACCATTGCTTATTGTATGCCTCCCCCATCAGACCATCAGCTGTATGATGGCAGGGGCCTTGTCTGAATTCACTGTGACAAATTCCACATGTAGCCCATGGCCTGGCACATAGTAGGCACTCCATAAATGGGGGTTGAATGAATACATTAATCTGGTGTGCCACACCTTGGGCTAAGGTCTCGGAGAACAAAGAGAAATAAACAGCCCATCCCCTCAGGAAGTTCACAGTCTGATTAAAGAAACATATGTAAAGGAATGGTTATGGAACAAAAGGAAAGTGCAATGTGCTTTAGAAACCCAGGGAAGGGGACCAGGTGTGGTGGCTCACACCTGTAATCCCAGCACTTGGGGAGGCCAAGGTGGGAGGATCACATGAGGCCAGAAGTTTGAAACCAGCATGGGCAACATAGTGGACCTTGTCTCTACAAAAAAATTTAAAAATTAGCTGGGCATGGTGGTTCATGCCTGTAGTTCCAGCTACTCAGGAAGCTGAGAGAGGAGGATCAAAGGAGCCCAGGAGTTTGAGGCTGCAGTGAGCTATGATAGTACCGCTGCAGTCCAGCCTGGGCAACACAGTGAGACGCCATCTCTAAAATAAACAGTAATAGCAATAAGAAGAAGAAGAAAAAGAAGAAGTAGGAGAAGAAACCCAGGGCAGGGGACAGAGGATGCTGCCTGGGGAGGCCAGTGCAGTGGCACTGAGGGTGGAGCTGGATCTCGTCAGGCAGAGGACACGGGGAGGCAGTGGCCATGCATTCCAGGCCAAGGCACAGCACAGGCCCAGCAAGGAGGTGTGAGAAGGAATAGTGGGCAGCGTGGAATGGCTGCAATGGATAAGATTGGACGGAAGGTAGGACCCTGTGGGCAGGAGGTCAGGGGAGGGAGCAGGTGTGCCACTGCCACTCTTTCTGCCCGCACAGGTAAAGCAAATGAAATTGAAGGACTCACGCATCAAGCTGATGAGTGAGATCCTGAATGGCATCAAGGTGCTGAAGCTGTACGCCTGGGAACCCAGCTTCCTGAAGCAGGTGGAGGGCATCAGGCAGGGTGAGCTCCAGCTGCTGCGCACGGCAGCCTACCTCCACGCCATATCCACCTTCACCTGGATGTGCACCCCCTTCCTGGTGAGGCTCGGCACTGGGCTGGGCCCCTGCCTCCAGGGTTCTAGGTGCCCAGGCATGGCCGGGGCTCACTGGACTCCACCCTGACACCACCCCCGTGCTGCTCAGGTGACCCTAATCACCCTCTGGGTGTACGTGTATGTGGACCCAAACAATGTGCTGGACGCCGAGAAGGCCTTCGTGTCTGTGTCCTTGTTTGATATCTTAAGACTTCCCCTCAACATGCTGCCCCAGTTAATCAGCAACCTGACTCAGGTAACCCTGGGGAGGGCTGGGGGCTCTTCTGGAGTTGGAACAGGTTGTTGGGGTCAGGGAAGGGTCATTTAGGGCAAGGGATAATCAGGGGGAGTTACTGGATTCAGGGAAGGTCGCTAGCATTATGAAGAGCTATTCAAGGTTGAATGAGGTCATTAAGGTCAGGGGTCAATTGGAGTCACAGGTGGTCAGGTCAGGTCTCTAGAAACCTGAGTTCTGTAGATAGCCTCCTGTTATCAGCCTGGGCTTTCTCTTCGGGCAGTGGGAGCCGTGGAAGACTCAGTCGTGGGAGGGACGCCAGTGCTAGCGTCTGGGCCCTCAGGGGGTCCTACCTAGCCCAGGACGCTGGGGACAGGGTGCGGGTAGGGGTTGGGGGTTGCAAAAGTACAATCTCTAGGGCTGACTCACATCCTCCTGCAGGCCAGTGTGTCTCTGAAACGGATCCAGCGATTCCTGACTCAAGATGAACTGGACCCCCAGTGTGTGGAAAGAAAGACCATCTCCCCAGGTCTAGAGAGCCCCTGCCTGGGCTGCCTGCCTCAGTCCTAACCCCAGAAAAACCTCTGTTTCAAGCTTCTCCATTGTTCTCTCCTGACCCCTTTTCTTCTTCCTCTCTTCACATCTGCTTTGACTCTGTGACCTCCTTCTCCCTTTTCTGGGTTCTCTGCTCTCCTCTGCCCTTCCCCACAGGGCTCCCCACATCCCTTTCTTCCTCCCTTCTCCCAAAGATCCCTTCCCCATGGCCCAGGCTCATCCCCTGTCCTCCTTTCCCCTGCCCCCCAGCCTCCCTGCCGGCTACCCCATCCCTTGGGCTCCCTCCCTGATCCTGCCCACCTTGGTCCTCTCAGGCTATGCCATCA